CCTCCGTTTTGGTTATTCCTCATTCAGTAAACTTTTTCTAGGTTACAACAATTATTATTATTATATTTTTTTTCAAAAATTGTATTGCTGGCATTTTTACTATAAAAACCTATTTTTACACATTCATAGTGTCTTGACCCCTGTTTGGGGTCAACTATTTGCCCATAGCTGGGACCCTAACAGGTGCCACCTCCCTAGGTCAGGGTGGACCTGGGAACAACATTAATTAAGAAGTGGTTCTATGTTCTTCAAAACCTCCTGATCAGAAGCCTTGCTGCCGGATTTAGTTTATCATCATACCCAGGACAAGAAAGCAGTTGTATGCAGTTGACTGTTTAAATATTTCTGAATGTGTTTGAAAGTTTTGATTTGATGAATCTATTTAAGAACACGACTTGAGTTTTGGAATTTATATTTTGTTTTTTCAACAGTTGAGCAAAATTAGCCTTAGTATGGCTTATTCTATTTTAATCCATAAATATTTGAAGTTTTTAGTATTTATTTATTTTTTATTTGGTTGAGTCAGGTCAGACATTCCTGAGTCTATCATGCCAGTCCTTGTGATTCTTTATCAAGGACCTGTGTCATAACATAGCTGGTCAATGTGAGTTGTTGCTGGACGACCAACCTATCTTGCGTGATGGCTAGGCGTCCAGAGCAATAGATCACTTACAGGTTCTTCCTTGGTTTTATTTGTCAAAATGATTTTATTAATTTATTATTTATGGAGTTGAGCTAATTCAAATATCCCTGAGTCTATCACGCCAACCCCTACGGTGCTGCAGCAAGATTGGAAAATCAGAAGGGTAGCATTCTGTGTCATAACATAGCTGGTCAATGTAGGCAGTTGCTGGGCGACCGACCCATCTTGCTCCATGGTTAGGTATCCAGAGCAGGTAGATCACTCACAGAATCTTGTTTTGCTCCCCAGTAGTGTCCTGTAAAGTACATTCTGTATTCGTCTAAGATTGTCGAAATATCAGGGATAGATCTAGAGATTTGTGATTTAGTTGGATGTTGTCGCCAAGAGATGTTAATTATAACTCTTAGCATCTGAGTGTAGGTCCCATGAAGATTAGACTCTAGGGTTTTAGTTAACATCCAAGCAGTGGCACCATACATTAAAACCGACTCTACTATTCATTTGAAAGAATCTCCGCTTGAGGTTTTCTGATAGATCAGATTTCCAGATTGCATCTATTTTATTCAAGGCAGCCAGGCTTTAGCTATGCAAATTTTCACATTCTTTCCAATAGAATTTATTTCTCTTTTTTATTGATTCATCTGAGTTAGTCTGTATTGTGCCTTGCTAGGTGAGGCTTATGAATTCAATTTTAGAGGCATTGACATAGAGTCCAACATCATTAACAGCATTTTCAAGATGAGGTGGCATTGGTAATGGTGTCTGCAGTGATAGTTAGGTCATCTGCATAATCAATATCTGTCAACGTTTTTGCAGGATATAGACTTGAGAGCCTTGGTGATAGAGTAAGACCTATATGATGATGTTTATCTAGAGAAAATCTTTATAGGTAGTCAAGGGAGATAAAGAAAAAAGATGCAAGTGTGTCACCCTGAAGGATCCCTGCTTTGATGCCAAAGAAGCTAGCGTCTCCATCTGGGGATGTAACAAAAGATTTGGTAGGAGAAGAGTTGATACATTTCTTTAGTATTTCTTTTCTTTTTAGGTGCCATGTCCTTTCAGGATGTAGATGATCATGGCTCTCCACCTCCTTCTATCCCTTGCAGCTCTCAGCAAGCTCCTTCCCTCTGCAACCTCCCCCAGACCACGTTCTGTCATCCACCTGCTCAAGCTGTCAGTTATGTCATGCATTGCTTTCCCTTGTCTCTCTTTCCCTCTATTTGACCTGTGAGTATCAGATTCTCCAGGCCCTCTTTCCTCATTATGTGTTCCAGAAACTTCAGCTGCCTCTTCCTGTTAAGTATAAGCCTTCTTCTTGTTTGTAACCTTTCTAGGACCTCATTGTTGCTCACATGCTCGGTTCATGATATCCTTAGCATCCTTCTGTAGAACTTTAGTATTTACTAATTCTATATCCTGAATATTATGATGGATTGCTATCAAAAAATTTATTATTCATTTCTGTTGCTTGATTTTAATATGTCAGTTTTTATTGCAATTTCTATACACATATGGGAAAATGAAATAAAATCAATAAATAATAATAATAATAATAATAATAATAATTCAGCATTTTCCACCACTATTTTTGCCACTCTAACTGTTGTAATTGTGGTTCATGGTGACATTCAAGGCAAAATAGTTCAATAGTTTGCCAGTTCCTTTTGCACTGGAGATGTTGAGGTTACCCTGTTCCTTGTCTGAGGAGTTCCACCATGCACTGGTAAAGCTGCTGACACAACTCCTATGCCCAGGATGGCAACTAGTTATGGCCAGGTTATACTGTACCTATGGACTATAATGGGTATGTCCCAATCCTTATAAATACAGTGGGATATACTGTATGTTGGATTCACTTGGGTTACACCTTGATTCACTTCTAGCTTACCACTAGCAGTTGATTATTTACTATACGCCGCTGGCGAATCTTGTATATTGTTCCTGTTAGAAATATTATCATTCTACTTCCAACCTTCATTTGGTTATTCTTATTCAGTAACCTTTCCCTAGGTTACAACAGGCTGCTTGGCACCGGTGTGTGGAGGAGAGGTGTTTCTCTTCACTAGTCAGGTCAGGAAACCCTTTCGACTACTCTCGCAGTCTTTAGCTGGCATGTTGATGCTGTCGACCAGGGTACAGTACAATTCCACATACTAATTCACCTGAGTAAAGTAAAGTCAACCGCTTTACTCCAAAGTTACAACCACTGAAAAACTGGAAAAAAATTTTGGTTGACTCTTTTTCTGGAAAGAACAGAATCTTTCACTTTTCCATGACAGTGTTTGGAGGTGTTTTGGCATCACTGAGTGAGTGATTTGGTCATAGTAAAGTAGTGAGTGCTACTGTTGGAAGGTTGGTAGTTCTCGTGTAAGTCCGAGTGGTGCTCAACAGATTCCAGCTAGTCTCTGTAGTCTGTTGACTTACAGATATTTATAAGTAGTTACTACCTATAGTGTAGTCACTCATGGGAGTGACAGGCTATTCAATTACATCAATATGATATGTTATTCTGCTTTTACAATTGAATACATGGTAGATGATACTCAGCTTTTCTGCATATACATGTTTGTGTGGACATGATTACTAGAGGTGATGATATGTTTTATATTGTAGTTTTGTTGAAGTTATTTTTTGGAATATAGTTTGATTTGTTTGAGAAATTGCCGGATATTATAGGGACATATGTCATGAAAGTGTCCTTTCATGTTGATTAGTTGGTTGATTTCGTTTAGTGGCATAGCAACACCTGTATGGGTTATTTAATGCTGAAATATAAATATTTTGAACATAATTTTATGGCTTATTGTTGGTAATTCAACTATAAATATGTATCATTGGTAATTTTTTTATATATAAAAATGTATTGCTGGTATTTTTACTATAAAATATATTTTTATAATTGAATAGTGTTTGGGTGTTCACTATTTATCCATATCTATGGCTAAATACGACCCTGGGTAAGGGTGGACCAGGGAACAACAGCAATTAAGATGTGGTTCCATGCTCCTGAAAACCTCTAATCTCCTTATCAGAGGCCTCGTTACAGGATGTCGTTTAGTGATTGAGAAATCAATCCTCTTGGAAGTCAGTTCTACAGAACAGTGATATGTGCGAAGAAGCTGCTTAAGTAGAACTTAATCTCACCAATGGAATATGAAGGGGATGAGGGTGATGAATTACAATGTGTGCGTTATGGTGGGTCTTAGCCATGAAGGTTAGAATTAGCAGAATTAAGGAATGTAGTTTGTCTAAACACTTCCATGGAAATAACAATAATTTACATTGTTCACCACTGCAGTAGCCAGGCAGTGAATATCTGGCGACTGCAGTGGTGCACAAAAACTTGCAGAGTTGAGTTAAAGGGAGATAATTGAGACATCCGGAAGAGGCATGCCATGTGGAACTAGAACAATCTACCCTGGTGGATGAAATAAAGGGTTCAGATCCTGCATCCAATCACCTGAAGAAGGCTGGGGCATGCAAAGGCCAAAACATTGTGACTATGACAACAAAGATGAGGACAACAGCCTGAACAATGTAAATAATGACAATACCTCATCTCAGAATTCAGATCAAAAGTCCAATTACTTGAAGAAAGCCAGAGAGTACAATGACTAAAACATTGTGAATATGACAACAAAGGTAGGGGCCAAGAGTCTGAACAATATAAACAGTGTAAGTAATCACAATACCTCATCTCAAAATTCAGATCAAAAGTCCAATTACCTGAAGAAGGCCAGAAAGTACAACGGCCGAAATGTTGTGAATATGATAACAAAGATGAGGACAACAGTCCGAACAATATAAATAGTGTAAGTAATCACAATACCTCATCTCAGAATTCAGATCAAAAGTCCAATTGCCTGAAGAAGGCCAGAAAGTACAACAGCTGAAATGTTGCGAATATGACAACAAAGATGAAGACAACAGTCTGAACGATATAAATAGTGCAAATAATTACAATACCTCATCTCAGAAATATAAACAGAAATAGCAATTGAGTGGCAAGAGGTTTGCAATGTTTTTTTTTTCTGTGAGAAAGGGGTTGCAAGTTGGAAAATAATTTGTCAACTCCAAGGACACAGAGATGGTCTTGGACTCTATCGAGACTGGGCAACAGTACTCAAGCTTTCAACCTGATCTGTCTAGCTCTTGTAAATGTAGGCAGTAGCAGGAAGAGTCTGAAGTAGTACAGAGAATTGTCCTTTTTTCCAGTTCATAGCAGCTTCACAGGACCATGAGTACTGGTATAAGGTTGTGGACTCTGGGGTCAAAAGAGGATGGAATACCAAAAACACATTATGGACATTTGGTGAATGTATGTTGCAATCTTCAAAACTTGCTTCACTGATAGCAGCTACAGAACAATATATTTAAAATGTATCTTGTTTAAATATGACCAGTGTGGTTGATAAAATATTGCAACTGTTGAGTGTGTAAAAGAAAGAAATGAAAAAAAAAATGAAAGAAAGAATTTTAAGGAGAAAGAAAAAATATGGATGACAGAAGGCAAAAATAAAATAAATGAGAAAATAAGATTGAAAAGAAAGGAAACATATTTGGAGGAAGGAAACGTGTGTATGTGTAAGAAAAGTGATGAAAGAGAAAAAAAAGGTGCTGGGATTAAATGAGAAAGAGAGAAGAAATTGTCTGAAAAATGAAAGATAAAACAAAATGAATCAGTAAGATAGCAAAAAGAAAAAAAAATGGTAATGAAAAACAGGAAGAAATGAACAAAGAAAGAAAGTTGATGGAAAGAAAGAAAAGTAAAAAGAAAATGAGAAGAGAGAAACATAGAAAAAAGAAAATGTGAATTTTTGAAAGAAAATGTAAAGATGAAAAAAAAAAGAATGAATGATGAAGGAATCAGATAGAAAAAGGGGGAAAAAAGGGGAAAAATAATAATGAAAAAGAAATAGATAAAAGCATTGGAAAGAAGAGAAGAAAAATTGGAAAAGAATTTTGAAGACAGATTTATTTGAACTTGCATTAAAAAGAATTGATGACAAAGGAAAGAAAATAAGAAAAAGAAGAAAAAAGAAAGAAAAATTAAATTGTGAAAGAAAAAAAAGGGAGAAGAATTTTGAAAGAAAGATTTAAAATGGCCGTGAAAATGAAAAGAATTGGAAGACAAATGAAAAGGAAAGAAAATATGAAAAAGAAGGAAAAAAGAAAGAAAAATATTAAATTATGAACGAAAAAAAGGTGAGAAGAATTTTGAAAAAAAAAAAAACATTTAAAATGGCCATGAAAATGAAAAGAATGGAAGACAAGTGAAAAGAAAAGAAAATATGAAAAAGAAGAAAATGAAAAGATAGCTCAAAAGTATTAAATTCTGAAATAAAATTAAAGAGGGACATTAGAAAAAAGTAGGAGAGAATTGTGGAAGAAAGATTTAAAATGGTGAAGAAAAAGAATTGAATGAAAAAGAAAAATCTGGAACAAAAAAGAAGTGAAGGAAAGAACAAGTATGACGAGGAATGAAAAAAAGAGAGACGATAAAGGGAGAAAATAATTTTGAAAGAAACTTTTGAAATGACAGAGAAAATAATAAGAAAAGGAAGGAATAAGAATCATCAAGAAGAAAGGAAAGAGAAAACAAGGGGGGAAAATGAAATTGACTTTAGGAAATATTTGGAAGGAAATAGAAAAAAATTTATAAGAAAGTAAAAATGATAAATAATGAAAAAAAAAAAGATAAAGGAAAGAATGACTAATTGAAGGAAATACTTTTTTTTAAAAAAGCACAAAAACCCTAAAGAAGAAACTGAAAAAAAAAAGATGATTGTAAGAGAAAAAAAAATAATGATAAATGGAGATAAAAAGACATTTCCATGGAAAATAATTCATTTCTTGTGTTGAAATATCAGAAAAAGGAAGCACTTTTCTTTGGAGATAAAAGGATGGTTTATTTTCTTTGACAATTGTTTATTTATTTCTGAGCTGTTTTTTTCCTCTTTTCTCATTTTTTTTCTTCTCTTTTTAGACATGGAAATCATGGCCACAGTTTTCTATTGAAATGTCTAAAGACGTAGTTAGTTTCCTAATGTATCTATTTAACTTCTTGCAGTTACATCAGATAGAATTATCGACTTCCATTGTTGAGCATCTTTTACATCAAAATGGTTATTGATAGATAATCAGAATGACCCAGGAAAAAAACAAAAAAAAAACATTTTTCAACATTATCACCAACTCTGGACAGTATTTCATAAATCTTCCTGGCTAATATTCTCAATTAAATGTGAATAAAGGTCTATATTACTATATCATATAACGTTTTTCGTTGATGGTGACAGACAGTGGAAAATAGGTTGTCTTAAAACATAACACTGCTCAGGACTAAAACAACCAATGCTTGATCAGCATTGTTTTTGACAACGATCACGGCAGTAGTATACTGTTGGTTCATCCACTGTGGGACATTTGTATCTTTGTCTAGCCTCCACGGTGCCCCGGACTCTGTACTCTTTATAGCTCTTTGCTTCTGTGATAATAGCAGCTCTCCACCCGGCTTGATCCCATGCAACAGCATGCCACTTTACAACATTGATAGAAAATTCCATCATAGACGTTGGTCTATTTTGTTATACATCTAATAGCTCTGTTTTTGTTTGGAACAGTTGTCTTCATTCCTGACCTATGATAATGCTTTTCTTTTCCCCTTGAAATGTATCTTCTTAGTTTGAAAATGATGTGTCTTATTTATGCATATTTTTTTTTAATCATTTCACCCCAAGTAAGGAAGCAAAGCCACTAACACATGGTGGTGGCGAGGTTACTAAATGTGAAAGAATATAAATAAATACATTAAAGAGTGAGAACAATAAAAGAAGACAAATGGATGGAACAGACTCCGTAGGGGATGTTTCCCTGATCACTAAAATCTTAACCTGTTCAAGTCTCGAGTCAACCATTATCCTCCCCTGCTACCCCTTATCATAAACCTCTAGCTCGAGTGGCTCCCTGGCCTTGTATAGGTTGAACTAATCTTGGAAAAAAAAGAGAGAGAGAGAAATTAAGAAGACAGAAGATAACAATTGGCATGGCATTTAAATTTTTTGAAAATCAAACTTGACTATAAAGCAAAAGCCAGAATAGAGTTCCTCAAGCGAGAAGTGCAAGAGTTGAAGCTGTTAGCATAGAACTCATGGTTACACCTAGCCATTTCAATGTTTATGTGCCGCATCCTTTCAGCACATCGGTGATTATGACTCTCCACAACTTCTTATCCTTTGTGGCTCTTAGCAGGTTCCATTAGCAAGAAGTGCAAGGAAAGAAACTTTTAACATAGCATATACAGTTATATCTAGCCATTTTAACTTTTATGTGCCATGTTCTTTTGGCACATCGGTGCTGATGACTCTCCACAACTTCCTATTCTTGTGGCTCTTAACAGCTTCCACAAGCAAGAAGTACAAGAAAAGAAACTTTTACCATAGAACTTATGATAGTAATGTATGTCTTAATTCCTGACCTATAACAATACCTTCCTGATTTTCAGTGCATTCATATCATAGGCTATCAGTAATTCCTGACCAATTGTAACCATTCTCTTTCAGATATTCAACACATTTCTATAATATAATCAAAAGCAATGTATTTCAGATCCTTCATTCAGCATCGACACTTGAACACAGGCAATCCCTTTATTTCTCTTTTTCAATGTATTTTTATAAAAAGAATCATTAGCAATGCATTTATATGATGCATATGATATCCATCTGTCTCTCTCTAGTACTTGTCAGAATCCATCTTGCACAGTTGTGAATTTACCATTCTGTGCATTGGATATTTTCTACCATATTTTGTCTGGTATTCCTACTCTACAGGTTGCGATGGGTAAATTGTCGCCATTTTATATTTTTAAATTCACGCATGTGTGGGTTTTTTTTGTTTTTTTAATTTTTTATTTTGTCAACTGCCTGTGAGAAAAAGAGCACCATGACACAAATCACTCTGCCAGAAATTTGAAAATGGCATTCTGTACTGCTTGGCATTCATGCTGGAAACTCCAATATGAACATTTCACAGTGTTTGAGTGCAGAGAATTCAGAAAGAGTTGAATGCGTCTAACGGTGACTCACATTACATCTCTCTTGCCATAGCTCAATTAGGTAAATACACATGGAGACCTACCAAACTATTTGCAACATACTTGTTGATAATACAAATATAAAAGCCTCATCTATCTATCTATCTCTATATATATATATATATATATATATATATAGGAGGCACGGTGGAGTAATGGATAGCGGCTTGGATTGAGGAATCGCAGAACTGAGTTCGAATTCCAGTCAAATCCATTACATTCACTTACGTGCTAATACCCTTGGGAAAGGTATAAATCCTTTTACTCTCCCTCCAGCTATGGGTAAAATAGCAGGACAGACTGGGTTCTATAGCCTTGGATGGCAACTGGTCTAGGAGAAGGACAACTCTGAATTCAAAACCTGCGGAGGGTCGTTTGGGAACCTTGTGGCATTTGGTGCACCAGGTCTCTGTATTCGTCCCTTCAAAAACTGTGGATGGTCCTGCACGAGGCCTTCACTACTATAATCAAATCTCATTTGCTGCTGTCGGTTTCCTGGAAGCTGATCTGCTTGACCCTCATACGTCGAATCTCGATGGGAGAGTCGATTTTATATATATATATATATATATAAAAGTAAACATAGAAGTCAACACTTAGAGGCGACAGTCTGTTTCATGCTAGATGCAGTCGTCAGGCCATGACAATTGCATCACTTGGATCAACTGAGTCACCAATCCATAGTTCTCACCTGTTCCCAGTTACCCAGCTTATAAACCGTTATTCAACAGCTTCAGCTCCAGTGGCTTGGAAATGTACACCATATGCCAGATGGGAGGATTTCGAAGGTCCTTCTGTACAGGAAATTGACCACTGGCAAGAGGGCACGCTGACGACATCATCTTTGCTTCAAGGATTTCTACAAAAGGAACATGGACATTGATAGGTGAGAAAACGTTGCCAACAATCACTCATGCTTGAGACAATGACTTACACCAAAGGCTGGAGCGAGGTTAGGAGCAGTGTCTGCTTGATGGAAAGAAAACAACACAGCAATATCAGGGGAACGTGTATTCGTTACAGTTGCGACTGTTCCCCGTTACCCAGTTTATACACCTCTATTCAACAGCTCCAGAAAACTGACTACTGGCAAGAGGGCACGTCATGGTCTTCTACAAAAGGGACATGAGATCATGGACATAGACATTGATAGGTGGGAAGATGTTGCCAATGATCACTCATGCTTCAGACATGATTTCCACCAAAAAGGCTAGAATGAGAGGAGCAACAGAGTTTTGCTGCCAGGGAGATGTCTGCTTGATGGAAAAGAAAACAACACAGCAATATCAGGGGAACGTGTATTCGTTACAGTTGCGACTGTTCCCCGTTACCCAGTTTATACACCTCTATTCAACAGCTCCAGAAAACTGACTACTGGCAAGAGGGCACGTCATGGTCTTCTACAAAAGGGACATGAGATCATGGACATAGACATTGATAGGTGGGAAGATGTTGCCAATGATCACTCATGCTTCAGACATGATTTCCACCAAAGGCTAGAATGAGGAGAGGAGCAACAGAGTTTTGCTGCCAGGGAGATGTCTGCTTGATGGAAAAGAAAACAACACAGCAATATCAGGGGAACGTGTATTCGTTACAGTTGCGACTGTTCCCGTTACCCAGTTTATACACCTCTATTCAACAGCTCCAGAAAACTGACTACTGGCAAGAGGGCACGTCATGGTCTTCTACAAAGGGACATGAGATCATGGACATAGACATTGATAGGTGGGAAGATGTTGCCAATGATCACTCATAATTCAGACATGATTTCCACCAAAGGCTAGAATGAGGAGAGGAGCAACAGAGTTTTGCTGCCAGGGGAGATGTCTGCTTGATGGAAAAAAACAACACAGCAATATCAGTTGCGACTGTTCCCCGTTACCCAGTTTATA